GTACGGTTCGTTTTAAAGAAATAATTTCTTCTTCTAATGCCAATGTTTTATGTCTAAAACACAAAATAATGATACAATAATTTCAATTTTTATGAAAATATATTTTTTCTCACTTTTCCAATGTTATTTGATGATCAGATTGTTCTTGTAAACGTTTTGATGCTTCTCTCATATCAATATGTTTAAGATCATAATCACGTTTTAGATCATTTTGTAAACGTTGAATCTAAATACAAAAGACTAAAATCTTCGATCAATCTATCATTACATATATATTTACTGTTTGTTCATTATTAGCCAATAATTTTTCACGTTTTTCAACTTCGATAGCAGCTTTTTTCATTTGTCTTTCTAAATCAACATATTCTTTCATCTAAAAAAATTAATATTAGTAACAATTTAGAAAGATCATACTAAATTAAAATGAATTAAATAGAAATATTTTATTTAAATAAATTAGTGGCATTTTGATCACACAATGTTCTTCGTCAGAATGTTTTAAACCAGATAATGGAATGAAAATAGTCTCTCAGTCCTGTGTATCCGCTTCACTACCTACAGTATTCAACAAACAAAATTAGAAGAGAATGCATGGAAAAATATAATAATGATATAAAAGTCAATTTTAGTATTGTATATTTTTAAGTGTTATCGTTTTAAATAATCGAACGAAGATCACTTTGTGAACGAAATGTTGCTAATTTATTTAAATTATCTATTTTTGGCAAAAAGAAAAAGTAATTCTAATTTTAGAAATTAATATGAGATATTACAGTAAACTAATCTAATCAGACTCTATTAATTACTTTTTTCTGTAAAAGTGATTCTCGATCACGATCTTTTTCTTTGAATGCTTCCATTATTTCATAAACTTTTTTCGCTTCAATTTCTCGTAACTGAAAGAGATACAACAAAATAATCAAGCATATACAAATAGACAATGTCAATGTATCATACATATTTTTCAAACTCAAGTTCTTTTGTTTCTTTCCATAATTGTAATTCATATGTCGCTTGTAAATGGACATCTTCAGCCGGACGTTGAAATACATTATCTAATCCATTATTCTAACATTGTAGAAATGATTGATGATACAGAATATATCTTAAAACATAGTCTAACTAACTTGTTGTGGTATTGGTGGAACGGATTGTGAACGGTATTGTTGTGCTATGCTATTCAAATCTAATGGACCAAGATCGTCTAATGAGATAATCACGAATAATTCTCCACATTTTCTAAAATATAAACTCTAGTTAGTACGAGAATTATCAAAAGATCAAGAAAATATTTTTTATACTCGTTTGCTGAATTAATAATTGTTAAAAGTTGACTCAATGTTTGTCTCCAACCAGCAATTCCATTTGCATTTGAACATCGTTGTTTTTCTTGTTGTAACAATTTGTCTAATGGTAATTTTACTTGACCAAATAGATAATCCTTATTTGTTCGCGATGGTTCACCTTTATCTCTCACACATATGTCAATTTGAATAGGTTCATATTTGAAATTATCAATTAATTGTTGCCATATACAAGCAAAATCAAATGTACAAAACGAATGAGGTAATTGAAGATCTTGTTGATAACGTTCAATTGATATTGGTGGATGAGTTAGGATTGGTGTAAATGTGCCCACAAATGGATATTGATATTTACAATAAAGATAGAGAGGATGATTGGTTTTGACATTACGAATGGATTTTAAATCAATAGAAAGACAAAAATGATGAGAAATTGAGCCAGTACTCGTTGCTGTTATTGGAAAATTGAACGTTTGTGGATGTGGTTGAGGTGGATCATTGATATTAGTCACATGATTAGAGTGATAATCTTCATTTATCGAGGATGGTAGAGCATGATTGTTAACAGATAATAACTGAGCACGTTGTTGGGTGGAAAGATCACGAATTTGTTTTTGTGATAAACGACGGTCACTAGCCCTGAAATGAAGCAAAACAAACGTACAAGTAATGACACAGATTAAACATTATACTCTTAAGGTTTATTTTATAAAATTTCTGTTTCCATGCATACTTATTTAAATTAACTGTGTTCATTGTTTGATCATCTATTACTGATGCTGCATTTGTTTGTTCATTGTGTTGACGTCGTTTCTGTTCTGCACTCATCGTTCCCATTCCTGTGGTTGCTCTTGTCATTTCATCGTTTCCATTTGCTGACACAGCTTCTCTTACTAATTTAACGTTAACAATGACGGTGGGTTTCATCGTTTGATCTTCCTCTTGATCTTCCTGTTGTTGGTTCTCTTTTAATTTCAATGTTGGCGAGTGCAATCTGAGAATAAATTCTTTATTTAGAATATCAAACGTTGTTTTCGTTCCTTGCAAAGGTTGAACAATACGATGTAAAGGTATTGTTGTTTTACCTAAAAGATCGTTAGCCGACCAAAATGAAAAGTCTACTGGATGATATGATTCAAGGTAGGAGCGTAATATTTGTTGAGTAGTACGAATACGAACACTCGCTCGTTCTGGGTAAAATTTTGGATTTAATAGATCATAAAATGTTTCTGATGTAATATCATTGCCAAAAAGATTGTAATAGAAGAAAAAGCCATCTGTTGTTGACAAATTATATTGAGGTGGTACCAACTAAACAGGGGAACAATAAAAAATCTTACATTTAACTTTTAAAATCACTGAAGGACAAATATATGTGTAATTTACATGTATCAGATTTGTGGCGAAATTGATTGTGATAGCAAGTGAAAATATTTCGGCTTGTGGTATGTCTGGTCCAAGTAGATAATAGCCATGCTCTTCAACTAAAACGGGTTGTAACTTCGATTTAGATAATAGCGAGGATGAAGATGTTGTGCCCAATGGTGAAGCTTTTGATGGAGATTGAGCTAAATACAAACAAAAAAACAAACAAAATTAAGCTTGTAATTATCGAATACGGTTTAGACACACCAATTTTAGATAAAGACTTTGAACTCGTTTTTTGATAGTCATCTTCAACGTAACTGCATATTCTAAATTCTGGTTTTGAGTTGGGATACTTTGTTTGTAATAGATGGTACGATTGAATTTTCTTCAATAAAAAGTGAAGGATTTATTCGTAAAATGCAAACTACACGGTTTTTAAACATACCTGATTATTGTTAACTGATCTAACATCAATAATAAAATAGCCAATATTTTCTTTTACATCATTTGTAGTGGCAAATGTGTTACACTTAAATAATACATCAACATTGCAAAAGTAAAAAATCTCTGAATATGATACACAATTTGTCTTCGAGTAAAACATAGAGAAGGATCTGTCATGTTTTTTTCCTTACTTTGATCACATTTCGTTGTAGTTTATGATGTTGCAATGTTTTCTTATCTAATTCCCATGCTAATTCTTGATTCACATCCGGCACTGTCGAATGTTCGACAGGATCTGTAGTCAATATTTCACCATCGAATTTTGCTTCAATAGTTATATAAAAACCGCTACGTGATGGAAAATTTCGACCTAGATAGAAACCTGTAGAGACAAATGAAAAGCGGCTGAATATTGCATTTTACCTTCTAAAATTGATAAAACTAAAAGTATTCTGTCTTTTTGAGACATTAAACATTGATAATACTCGATTATAATCTAGAGTGAATGATCACAGAATGTGATTTTTACACAAAAAAAGTTCATTATCGTGGATTTTCTTAATATTTAGATTTGTATTAAAGATTGAGTAGTAGGCATGTACTAGTTCTGAGCACAATCGGACTCTGTCAGCTTCGGTTTCGTTTACGATTGAGAAAAAAATATTTTGACTATTTCGCATGGTGACAATATTAATTTCTGACATTTTAAAAGCTTTAGCTGGTGGAGTGTCTGGCATGGCTCATTGATTTAAGAGCTAGCGTAGATTGCATCATTAGCTGCAATTTGAATAAAACTTTATAAGTCAAAAACCTAGTCGAAAATAATTTTTCGTGATGACATTTTTTTTCTCCGTGTTTCCTTCCGGCAATTTATCTTCATTTCAATAAAGTTTTGACCATTCTCGAAATTAAATTGAGCTATTAAAAGTGGACGATCGTTTATCTGCACACAACTTTTGTTTAGAAAATATGATTTATTTTGTTTAGATCTGTGCTTTTTTTGTGTTGGATATTGTTTATATTAGGAAGATAATGGTCGAAAGCTAAGCTACAGTTCTGTTGTTCCGCGGCAGTGTTTCTAATAGCAAAGCGCACATACGCTTCTGAATTTAAAAATACGC